TGGGAGATAGGTTTTAGCCACAATGAAAGACTAGTTGATAGAATTATAACCTCAGAGATTTGGCCATGTGGGAAAATCCAGGGTTTTTCCTTTTTGGGGTCCAGATCCCATCCTCATCAGTTTTACTGGCATTTAATTGGACAAATTAACTACTAATAATTGCTTTAATTTCATCTTCATTGGTGGTGCATTCACACTTTTAATTTTTGATATTGGTAATTTGGTTTTCTTCTTTCTTTTTTAAATCAAATTAGCTAATGGTTTGTTTATTTTGTTGGGTTTTTTCCCCCATAAAACCCGCTCCTGGTTATATTAGTTTAATTTTTTTTAACTTTCAATTTTATTAATCTCTCCTTTGATTTTCAGGATTTTCAATTTGGTGTTGAATTGGTGTGGCAATTAAAAAGTTTTGAGAGACATAGTTTCTAAGTAATTTAATCATTTTATTAATAAGGCTGGCACCTTATTAATAGAACAGAGGTCATTTGGCCATTTCTCTTATAACAAAGACAATTGTGGTGGTGGGCTCACAGTTTATATATCTTTGGAAGAGTAGGTGTACAATGAGGGGATGAGAATGATGTCATGTTACCCCTGGACAGAGAAACAATCTCTAGACTACCCCTGGCCTTGAACTATCTAGACAAAAGGATCTATCTCCACCTAAGCTTGAGTAGAATACAATGGGCTTCCCCACTTTATACTAAATTTCTTGTAAGGTTGGGTTGATTTGACCAAGATTGAGGAGAGTTAATTCAATCTCATTATCAATAATGTCTTTCAAGAGATTGTACTTCTGGGGCAGTTAGGTGGTGCAGTGGATAGAGCACTGACCCTGAAACAGGAGAACCTGAGTTCAAATCCAGCCTCAGACACATAACACTTACCAGCTGTGTGACCCTGGGCAAGTCACTTTAATCCCATTGCCTAGCCAAAAAAAAAAAATTTAAAAAGAATTAAAAAGAGACTGAACTTTTAAAATCAGTACTTTGGAAGAAGAGAAGAGCTCTTAATCTCCCCAAATGATTAGTTATTAATAATCATTTCTCATATTGGAGATTCTAAATTTATTCTTTATCTAGTTTTTTTTTTGTTTAATTGCATACCGATTTGTTCTGTTTCTCTTTTTCATTGATGTACACATTTAGAGATATAAAATTTCCACTAAGTACTGCATTGGCTGAATCCCATAAATTTTGATATGTTGTCTCATTGTTATTATTCTCTTTAATGAAGTTATTGATTGATTCTATGATTTGTTCTTTGACCCACTCATTCTTTAGGATTAGATTGTTCACTTTCCAGTTCATTTTAAATTTATGCTTCCACTGCCCTTTATTGAACATAATTTTTACTGCATTTTGATCTGAAAAGAATCCATTTAATATTTCTGCTTTTCTACATTTAATTGTGTTTTTATGCTCTAATACATAGTTATTTTTTATGAAGGTGCAATATATTGCTGAGAAAAGGTATACTCTTTTCTATGTCTATCATATCTAATTTTTCTTTAAAAATTTTTTTTATTAATTTATTTTGATTTATCAACAATCACTTACATAAGTTTTTGAGTTTTAAATTTTTCTCCTCTTCCCTCCCCCCCTCCTCAAGATGGCATGCAATCTGATATAGGCTATACATATACATTCCTATTAAACATATTTTCACATTAGTGATATTGTAAGGAAGAGTTAGAACCAATAGGAGGAGCCACCAGAAAGGGGAAACAAAACAAAACAGAAGAAAAAAATACCAATATTATGCTTCAATCTCTAATTTTTCTAAGATTCTAATCATCTCCTTAATTTCTTTCTTATTTTGTGGTTACATTTATCTAGCTCTGAAAGGGGAGTTGAGGTTCCCCACTAGTATAACTTTACTATTTCCTCCTCTAATTAATTTAACTTTTCTTTTAAGAATTTGGATGCTGTGCCATTTGGGGGGTGTGTGTGTGTGTGTGTGTGTGTGTGTGTGTTCATATATATCTATCTCTATATCTATCTCTATATCTATATTTGGTACTGATATTCCTTCATTGTCTATGGTGCCCTTTAATCAAGATGTAGTTTCCCTGCTTATCTTAATATATATCATATGTATAATATATAAATATATATCTTAAATATATAGACCTTAATTAGGTCTATTTTTGCTTTTGTTTTGGCTGAGATCATGATTGCTATCCCTGCCTTTTTTACTTCAACTGGAACACAATAGATTCTGCTCCAGCACTTGACTTTTATTCTGTGTCTCTATTTCAAGTGTGTTTCTCCTAAACAATATATTGTTGGATTCTAGTTTCTAATTCATTCAGCTATCCATTTAAATGTTATAGGTGAGTTCATCCCATTCACATTCACAGTTGTCATTACTAACTCTGCATTTCCTTCCATCCCATTTTATTCTCTTTATCTTTCTCTTTTTCTTTTTACCCTGTCCTTCCTATAAAATCTGTTTTGCTACAGACTACTGCTTTTCTTTATCCACTCTCTCTTTATCATCTCCCTTTCTCTTATCCCTTTCCCCTCCTACTTCCATAAAGAGTAAGATAGATTTCTATACCCAATTAAGTGTGTATATATGTGTGAATGTACATCTTTATCTACCTAATTTCTGCCTTTGAACCAATTTAAATGAGAGTGTTGCCTACCACCCTCACACCACTTTCCCCTCCACTGTAAAAGCTCTTGCTTGCATGCCTCTTCTATGTGAGATATTTTTTTCTATTCTTTCTCTCCCCCCCTTCTCCCAGGACATCTCTCTCTCTCTCTCACTATATATATATATATATATATATATATATATATACACATATATATATATGCACACACATACATATATGTGTGTGTGCATGTGTGATTTACTCACTTTCTTTCTCCCTCTCACTTACACATATTTATATGTATGTGTATGTGTGTACATATGTGTGTGTGTGTATACACTCACATATGAATGACTCACTCCTGTGTCCTCTATGTAGAATCCTTCAACTGCCCTAATAATAATAAAGTTCTTAGAGGTTAGGTGTACCATTTTCCAATACGAGAATGTAAACAGTTTAACCATACTGAGTTCCTTAAGATTTCTCTTTCATGTTTACCTTTTTATGCTTCTCTTGTATCTTTTCTTTGAATGTCAAATTGTCTATTCAGCTCTGGTCTTTTCATCAAGAATGCTTGTAAGTTCTCTATTTCATTAAATATCAAATATCAAAAAATATTAAATATTTTTCCTTGAAGGATTATACTCCGTTTTGCTTGGTGTGTTATTTTTGATTATAATCCTAACTCTTTTGCTTTCTGGAATATCATATTCTAGGCCTTCTACTCCTTTAACATGGTAGCTGCTAAATCTTGTGTGATCCTTACTATGGCTCACAGTAGTTGAATTGTTTCTTTCTGAATGCTTATATTATTTTCTTTTTTGATGTGGGAGCTCTAGAATTTGGGTATAATTTTTCTGGGAGTTTTCATTTTGGGGTCTCTTTGGTAAGTTCTTTCAATTTCTATTTCACCCTCTGGTTCTAGAATATCAGGTTAGTTTTCCTTTATAATTTCTTGAAATATGATATCTAGGCTCTTTCTTTAATCATAACTTATCTCTCCTTCATCTATTTTCCAGGTCAGTTGTTTTTGTGATAAGATATTTGACACTTTCTTCTATTTTTTTTCATTCTTTAAATTTTATTTTATTGTTTCTTGATGTCTCATGGAGTCACTGTTGCCCACTTACCCAATCTAATTTTTAAAGAGTTATTTTTATCAGTAATTTTTGTACATTGTTTTGCATTTGACAAATTCTGCTTTTTTAAAGTATTATTTTCTTCAATATTTTTTGTACCTCTTTTACCAAGCTGTTGTCTTTTCATATTTTTTCCTTGCTCTTATTTCTTTACCTATTTTTTTCTCTCCAGCTCTTATTTTATGTTTAAAATACTTTTTTAGCTCTTTCAGGAATTCTTGTTGGGCTGGTGTCCAGATCCCAAATAGCTATTTTGACTTCATTATCTTCTTCTGACTTTGTGTCTTGATCTTCCCTGGCATCATAGTAGACTTTTATGGTCAGGTTATTTTTTGTTGCTATTGTTTGCTTATTTTTCCAGCCTATTTCTTGACTTTGAATTTATGTTCAAGTTGGACTCTGTTCCCTATATGGGGAATGTCACAAGCTTTGGACTTTTTCTGCACTGCTGTTTTCAGAGCTAGTTCTGTAGATTTGGCAATTTTCAGTGATTCCAAGGTGGTGTGATCTGGGGAGAGGTGTGGCCATTGCTTTCTTGGCATCTGCTCTGGTCCTTACCCAGGAACAGTCTCTGCTCCCTTGGGACTGGAAGTGATACTGATTCTCAGAGCCTCTTCTCCCTTGAACTTGACCCATAAGTGGGTATAGGCAATGAAATGCCAAAGAGTTTATAGTCCTGCATCCAGTGTTAGTGCAGGGGTCCCCTGTAATCTCTTTCTGACCAGTTGCCAGGTCCCCTTACTATCTCTAGCTTGAGAGTGCCTGAAGCTGCTGCTGCTTCTGTCACCACCACTTAGTCCCACCACTGTTGTTGCATCCACAGCTGCTCTGGGCCAGCTTCTACCCTGAGGTCACAGATCTCTCCTTCTGACCTCCAAAGTTGTGTTGGGCTGGAAGAAGATCTCACTCTGACCTTTTGTTGGCTCTGCCACTGCAGAACTTGATTTGAGGCATTATTTTAAAGTTGTTTAGAATATTGAGAGAGCTCAGCTGAGTGTTTCCTCTACTCTGCCATCTTGCCTCTGCCCTCTAATTTATTTTCTAAAAATCTTATTTTTATTGAAATCTTTTGCTTTTAGAAAATATTCATTTTCAAATGTATTCTTCCCCTCTCCCTTTACCAGCAACTCACCCCTAAAGATTAAAGAATTAAAAAGCAAGGAAAAAAAGAACAGATCAGTTACTTTCTACCAATTGGAGAAGCATCCAGAGCCTTCCCCTATTGTGACTAATACCCCTGCATTTCTCTTTCTCTATAGGTATGTTTTCACGGGTATTTACACATTTGAATCCTTAATAAAAATATTGGCCCGAGGATTTTGTCTGAATGAATTTAGCTACCTTCGAGATCCATGGAATTGGCTGGATTTTAGTGTGATTTCCCTGGCGTAAGTAATTCTTATGAATGCACATATACATATGTGCACATGTGAATACATGTGAACTCATAGGACAAAAACTTTGGGGAGAGAATTTAAGCTCCTTGAGGGTGGGGATTATTCCATTTTTGTCATTGTCACCCCAGGGCTTAGCAAAGTACCTGCCCAGAACAGGTACTAAAAATATTCTTTTTTATTGAATAATTCTCATTTTCAAATTCTATTAAGGTGATTGGGCCTTCTTTCTCGCCTACTGGGCTAAAGTCATTCTAGTGTGGTCACTGTAGTAAAATTTAGTTTTTTCCATCAAAAAAAAAAAAAGGCTGCCCTGGGCATGAAAAGGGGCAGATAGGTGGCTTAAGAAATAGAGAGCAAGGCCTGCAGTCATGAAGACCTGAGTTCAAATCTGGCCTCAGATTCTGACTAGCTGTATGATTCTGGGCAAGTCACTTAAACCTCTTTGCCTCAGTTTCCTCATCTGTAAAATGAGCTGGAGAAAGAAATGGCAACCATTTCAGTATCTTTGCCAGTAAAACCCCAAATGGGGTCACAAAGAGTTAGACATGACTGAAAATGACTGAACAAAGGACATGACAAAGAGAAGGAATGGGACAAGGAGAGTGTGTTGGGAGAAGTTAAAGGTTTGATGGTAGTTTGTGGGAAAGAGATAATATAGCATCTTGTGCTGGCCTTGGAGTAAAGAAGGGACAATACTCTTCCTTTGGTGCAGACTAGCTATGTGACCCTAGGCAAGTTATTTAAGCTCTCTGTGCCCCAGGCAACTCCCTAAAACAATCCATTATGGAGGACTTCTTTTGCACCAGGAGTGCCCCTCTTGCCAATGTAATCACAGTAGTGGTCTGAATCTAGAAACAAAAACTAAGGTCTGTGATAGGATCATAAGATCAAAGGTCCAAAACTGGAAGGGACCAACAGGGCTCAGAGTTTGATGCTTCATTTGACAGATGAGACAACTGAGGCCCAGGGCCCAACGTTACTCAGGTAGTGAGTAGTAGAGCCAGAATTTGAATCCAGATCCCCACACACAAATCCAGCATTATTTCCTTCTTATCCCATCCTGTGGCTGTCATCAGAAACCACACAAGATGAGAAGGTAGGGAGATAGTTTGTCCACCGGGGCGATTACATGGGCCCACTGGAGGATAGAAGCAAAGATGGGATCCAACAGTCATAAAGGTCCTGCCTTCGAAGGGTGGGTCAAGAGGATCTCCAAGCACCTGGGTCAAGAGAGTACCCCAGCACTTAACATTACAATGGATGTTGAATAGGTACCTGGGAATTAGCAGTAAAAAAGCCACCAGGGGCTCAATCCCCATTCATTTGACTAGATGACCTAAACGTCTTCAATATATGAGATAATATTAGTACAACTGGCACATGGTAGGTGCTTAATAAATGTTTGTTCCCTTCTTATCCCTCTTCATATCAAATTCCATTTCAACAAGCATTTATTAATCACCAACTCTGTGCCAGGCATTGTATATTTTGTGTCCCTAGGGACACAAAGACAAAAACTAAGCAGACATCTGTGTCAAAATAAGAGACAGTTTAGGAACCACAGAAGCCTCTTAAGCAGGTTAGTGTTGCAGTCATCTGTTCTTCAGGATTATCCTTTTGGCAACTGTATGTGGGATGGTCTGGGGAGGGGGGAGACGGGAGCAAAAGTACAATGAGGAGGCTCCTGTGATGGGTAAGAGTCAAGACAGACAGCATCGGTCAAGGCCTGGAGAGCAGAGAGTGCAGCATGGACAGCCCTGGGATATCACAAATCAAATTCACGTTCCTTCCCCAGAACATGTTCTCTTCTACAGCATTCGAACACCCCACAAATCCAGCTCGTTGCCAAACCTCGTCATTTCTACCTTCACAACGCTTCTCCCTCCATCACCCAGCCATGGTCCCAGGAGATTCCCATTCCCTGTCCCTTAGGCAGGGCCTTCTGCCTCCAGTCTCTCCCCACTCTAGTCCAACCTCCCATCAGCTACAAAGTGATCTTCCTAAAGCGCAGGTCGAACCATGTCACCCCCTTTCGCAATAAATTCTAATGGCATCCTCTTACTCCAGCATCAAAAAGAAAGTCTTTTGTTTGGCATTTAAAACCTTCCTAACCTGGCCCCTTCCTACATTTCTAATCTTCTTACACTTTACTCCCCTCCGCAAATTCTTCAATCCAAAACATTCTAGACCACCTGCTGGTCCTCACACATGACACTCCCTCTCCAGTCTCCTTGGTATTAGCTGTTGTCCTCCATGTCTAAAAGGCTCTCCCTTCTCTCCTTGACCTCCTGACATCCTGGACTTCCTTCTAGCTAAGGTCAAACACCCCCTTCTACAGAAGACCTTTCCCAGTCTCCTCCAGATGCCCCTACTTCTCTAAGGCTACCTTCTGTCTATTCATCTATTCTGTATATCTCCAGTGTGTAGTTGTTTGCATGTTGTCTCTCCCTGCCATGAGCTCTTTGACGGCAGGGACTGTTTTCGCCTTTTCTGGTACGTAATAACCATTTAATAAATGTTTGTTGACTGACTGATTGCTTTGACATGGCAGGTACATTGCTGAAGTTACAGACCTGCGTGGGGTTTCAGCTCTGAGAACTTTCAGAGTGTTCCGGGCTCTGAAAACAGTTTCAGTGATCCCAGGTAAGGAGGTGGAACTTCTTGTCAAGCAAGCATCTAGGTATCCAAAGGAAACTGGCAACTCACTTACTAGGAGCTTGGTCACCTCCTACCGTTGAACAGTCTGGGAACCAGGGAAGGGCTGGTTGGGGGCTAGGGAGAGGGGGCTGTGATGAAGCCTGCCCTCATCCAGGGACTTCCCTCTTCCCAGGGTGGCTTCAGTGCCCATTCCCTGTGTCAGGCCAGCCTGCCCAAACTTATCAGAATTGTCAGCACAGAGTTAGAGCTGGACAGGACCATCTGAGTGATGACTGCTAGCCTGATGGGCCATGAGTTGAAACTTCTTTTCTCAAAAGCATCAGGGCACAGTGGACAAAGCCCTGGCCCTGGAGTAAGGAAGACAGGATTGAGATTTGACTCTGACACTTACTAGGTGTGAGACCCTGAGCAAGGCTGAGCCTCAGTTTCCTCATCGGCAATATTTATTTATCAGGGTTGTTGTGAGGTTTAGGTGGGATTCTGGTAGAGGAGCATGCCACCTCTTTAAAATGCTGTATTAACACCTGCTATTGTTATTGTTGTATATCTTTACCACTATCCTTATTATTATTTCATTCTTCCATTGTCATCAATGGAGTTCATATAGAAATGGTCCTGGGACAAGTTTCCCTCCTGCCTTCATGCTTTCCTACTTAATGGTCTTTGCACAAGTGGTTAAAATAAGTGTGGGGTTGGGGGTTTTTTTTTTTGTTGTTGTTATTTGGATTTGGATTAAAAACAATGATCTGTAAGCTTATCCTCTGTAGGCCATGAAAACAGCCTCAACTGCTCAGAAGATGATGTGTATCTCATCCTGCTCCCACATGTTTTTTATTATGATTATTTACCTTAATGGGGGGGTCCTACAGATGGATCACAAGATACAGAAACTTTGACTCTTGAGCTGCCAATGGGCTATGGGTTTTCCAACAATGCATGGTCTTGGCTAGGGCTTAAGTGTCAATGTGACCTTCCTGATAAAACACAACTGCTATTTTGGCCAAATGGCAATAAATTACAGCTCTTTTGGCAATCTTATCCATGAGACTTAGGAGCCTCAGGGTCCAGACACAGAAAAGCCCCCATCAGTGAGGACAGCCTCAATATTCCAGAGACAAAGTAGAGCTCTGAGACCAAAGCTTGATCTGAAATTCCTCACTCTCTTCTCTGGGTTCTGGGATCGTGGGTCGCCATTGCCTCCCACTTTCTATAGGGCCAAAGAAGGTACAAGTTTCAGTGCACCCTCGAGATTATCTACTTCAGGAGTTCTTAACCTTTTTTGTGTTGTGGACTCCTCTGATAGAATAATGTTTTCAAATTCACAAAATAAAATACAGATTACAAAGGAAACAAATTTTATTAAAATACAGTTATGGAAAATTTTTAAATAAGAAAACAAGTTCATAGACCCCAGGTTAAGAACCACTGAGCTGGTCCAAGTACTTCATTTTCCAGATGAGTCATTTATCCAAGGCCAGGCAGTTGGTAAGTGGCCAGGGTTACCAGCTCCCAGCTCAGGGTTCTGTGCCAAGCTGTTTCCCCTATTAGCAGAGACTGATTAAGTTCATTAAAGGGGAAAAAAATTGAATAAATATCAATCTTTTGCTATAGATGGGTGTTCTCTGTGACTCACTGTAGATGCTGGGGTCTTATGCAAATTACCTGCAAATCAATGCTCATTTTGACAGTGAGGAAGGAGGCCCATAATAGGAACCAGAGGTTTACTGATTGATTAATTGATTGATTGAGGTCATTCGGAGAGATTGAAGTAAAAGTGAAAGAAATGGAATTACCTGCATCCATTCTTTCAGCAAACACCCCTCCTGGCCTTGGACCAGAAAGCTGGGATGAGGAAGGAGTTCATATTGTTCAGATAACTGTATGAAGTACGTACATACCCCCAGACTGAGCCATCTTGATGCTTGCCACATGTGTCGCAAAATGGCCCTGGAGCAAGCATTAAGAAGCATCAGGAGGGTGAGAGACCCCAGGACAAAAACACCTTGGCAAGAAGAGACCCCGGGCTGTGAGATGCTGCCCCAGGGTAGCCTGGAGCAGGCTGACCTGAGGCATAGGCTCTACAAGTACACCACCCAGTATCTTCTTGTTTTCACTGACTGTTCTTGCTCTTCACATGCGATGCTCCCTTCTGCCACTGGCAGGAAGGAAGGAGGAATCACCCAGTCGTCCCACCCTAGTTACAGCACTGGAAGCACTTCATGCAATTTCCACGTTGAAAGGTCAGGCTTTCTTTCTGCTCCGGGGCCTCTAAGGTGCTGTTCCTTGATCTCCCCAGGCTTAAAGGTCATCGTGGGTGCCCTGATCCACTCGGTGAAGAAGCTCGCGGATGTGATGGTGCTGACAGTCTTCTGCCTGAGCGTCTTTGCGCTCGTGGCCCTGCAGCTCTTCAAGGGAAACCTCAGGCACAAATGCACGAAGAACTGCACATTTCTTAACGTGACCAGCGATCTCTATGGTGAAAACAAGACATGGGATTTCTGCAAAAATGACCCCGGTAAATCTGCCTGGCACTTGAAAGCCCCTTTGTGCTTTATTTTTACCACATTGCTCTTGGCATTGCTAAAACACGACCTTGAAGTCCTAAATAAGGCCTAATAATGGGATGGAAAGAACACTGAATAGGTAGAACCATAACTAGGGCAGGACAACTGGGGCATTGACCCAATTTGCCAAAATTTATAGGAAACCTACAGTATTGTCCCATAGGAAATTTCTTCCCTCCAGAGGCCATATCTTCCACCTTCTTGGTAGTGACCAGTGCTTTGGCAGTATAGAAAACACCTGGTGTATCTGGGTACATTTCTCCCTACATCTTCACCCACCATCATGGCCAAATTTCAGGTGAGCTCCTTCTACCCATCGCTAACCCTTTCTCCAGGGCTCCAAATTCTTCAATATGGTCCTGCCCAAAGACATATCATAACATCTCTTCCAGCCTCAGTATTTCCTTCTGTAAAATGGGTGGGGGGGGGAGCAGTAGACTAGATGATCCCTGAGGTCTCTTCTAGGTCTGACATCCTATGACCCTATAATAAGGATATTCCCAAAGAGCACAATTCCTTTTCAACATGTGAACTTGCCCTAAGGACTTTCTCTCTCATTGTCTGTGACGACTGTGTCATGAATTTAAGGTAAATGGCAATGAGAGGAATGTGGAACATTGAGACAGGTGAAGATGAACTTCTTCAATTGAATGAATTTTGAAGATGGCCCTTTTGCTATCTGGGAAATAACTATTTGAAATGATGAGAGTGCACACCCTGTCCTTGGCTTTTCTGGGTTCACATCCCTTCCCTTTTCCTCATCTTACAAGATCTCTAAATGCAGTAGTCTGGAAGAGATCAAGTAAGGCTCCTTCATTTCACAGACAGGGAAACTGAGGCCAGAGATGTGAATCAGCTTACCTAAAGTCACAAGCCAGTAGCAGAGCAGGGTTTTAAACCCAGATTTTCAAATCCAGAACTCCACAGTGTCTTCCTTCAGCAGCCAGACCCTCAGATGGTTTCAGATACCATGTTCCATGACAACCAAGTGGAAGGAGAATCTGAAAAGTAAGAGAATCAAGGGCAGAGTCTGCTTCCTGTTCCTCTCAGGCATGGAGGAAGAGAGATAACTGTTTAATTCATTCATTCATTCATTCATTCATCCATTCACCCATTCAACAAATATCCCATAGAATGGAAACTCCTTGCAATCAGGCATTATTGAGTTCTTGTCTTTGTGTGCCTAGTGCCTAGCATAGTATCTTGCCACATAGTCTGGTTTAAATAAAGACTAGTTGGATTGAATTGAAGTACCAACTGTAAACTTGGCAGTGTGCTAGAAACTGAGGATACAAAGATAGATACAAAATGGTGTCTTCCCTCCAAGAGATTATATTCAACTAGGGGAAGGGAAACTATACTATGAACACAAAGAAGTATAGAGAAGTTGAGAGTTTCAGGTTTGGTTTGTTTCATGAGCCACACGTGCAGCATTTTAGTAGAAATGAGATAAAAAATCTCAGTCTCTAAGGCTGAAATCAGCTTTCAGTCTGTTCAGTTAGAAAGTTCTGTACTGGCCAAATGTGTAGACTTAGACTCTTGGAATGACCAAGTTGGGAGGGACTTTCATCTTCAACATGTAGCCCAGCCTGCCTGGGAACCAGTAGTTAAATAGGCTGAACAGTGTTGGACCTTCTTTTCACTCAATATCGATGATTATTTTTGAGAGGGTGTGTGAGTGGATTATATATAGATTATTTTCATAATGAACAATTAATTCTTGGTTGGTAGTGCATATGTGAAATTCATCCTCAAGTCCAAACCCAATAATAGGGGCCCTGCTCCAACGCATCAGACCAAACTGGGAAGCCTGCCAATGGCATGCTAGTGCCTAATGTTCAGATGGCATGGGGAGGGCAAAGGGTGGGGATGGGACTGTGAAATGATAGAGATCCATGCTTACATTTCACAGGGAATCTTGTGGGGATGAGCAAGGGAGGTTCAGTCAACAAATATTTATAAAGTGTTCATACATAGAAAGCACCTAATGTATGCATTTCCATTCATTCATTCATTTATTTAAAGTACCTCCTATGTGCCTAGCACATGGCTAGACACTGGGGAATAGCACCTGCCCTCAAGGAGCTTATATTCTACATATCAAGGAAAAGTCAGGTGCCCAGATGTCTGAAGCATTTGGAGGGGCTGGGAAGATGTGTCATATGGAAGAGATGATAAGTCTTGGAGGGCAAAGGAGAAAAGGAAAAAAACCAGCAGGTAACAGGCTTAGAGGCTCCAAACAGTCCGTCAGTCAACAAGCATTTATTAAAATCCTCTTTTGTGCCAGGCTCTGTATCACATGCTGAAGTACAAAGAAAGGAAAAGGCAGTTGGGAGACAGCCTTCAAATCACTAGGTACACACAAGATAAATTGGAGATAATCCATGAAATTGGCAGCACTAACAATAAAGGGTATCAGGAAAGGCTTCTTGCAGATGGTGAGATTCTACCTGGGACTTGAGGAAAGCCTAGGAAGCCAGAGGTAAAGATGAGAAGGAAGAGAATCTCAGGCCCAAACTTTGTATTTTCACTCCTACAGAGCAGTAGGAGGCCTAAGGGACTAGAAGAGGCCTATTTGAGGGCTAGGGTCACATCCACAGAAAGGATCCTAGGCCCTAAGTTGTAGACGAGTGGACTAAATGCCTCCCCATTGTTTTATCATCTACTTAGCCCAGAGGTGGTCAATCACAGAGAAATTGACACCATTTCCCTGTGGACAAGCAGCAAAATGCAGGTCTCCCACTCAGCTGACCTTGGATAGCTCCTGAGATCACCGCCTTTGGCGTGGATTGTCCAAACCTTGGACAGCTCCTATATAGTGCATAAGCAAATGTTATCCCTTTTGGTTGTAATTCAAAAAAACAAATCTTAACACAAATCTACAGGCCTCAGCTTTCTGCTGCCCACTTCTACTTTCCCCTGGGCAATCTAAAGTTCCCAAACACCAGCCTCCTTTTTTGCGCCTCTGGCCCTAAGTCTGTCCAAACATATCTGCTAATGCTTCATCCTCACTCCTTCTGAGTGAATTCCAAATCTGCGATCATACTGATAACTCACATTTCTAGAGTGCTTTGAGGTTTATCATGCTTATTCCTCAGAATAACCCGATATGATACACAACACAAGTACTTTTGCCCCCATTTTCCAGATGGCAAAATTGAAGCCTGGAGAGATTAACTGTCTTGTCTGTGGTCATTCCACGAGTGTTGGAGCTAGGATTTGAACCCAGGTCTTTGTTGACTCTAAACTGAGTCCCCTTTGCATTATACGAAGTTGCTGATGTTATGTACTCTGAACATTTTGTATTGATAATAACAATAGCACTTCAAGGTTGACAAAGCACTTTACATGTATCTCAGTTTGATGGCTCTATGCAAACAAAAAAGTACACAAATGATGCATTATTTATATAGCCACTTTAATGTACCATCCCATTCATTCCCAAAGATTCTCTGGAGAATCTGAGTTCTTTGGCTCTTAAATGGTCAGTGGGGGAGGGTGCAGAAGTTTCTCGAAGGCCTGATCTCCTTCTTTTCCATGTTGTGCAGATTACTTGGTGTACAAGAATGGCACAAAGGATTACCTACTCTGTGGCAATGGCTCCGAAGCTGGGTGAGTAGATGTCATGCAGAAATGTGCCATTCATTCATTCAACAAATGGGTCTTGAACCCCTACCATGGGCAAGGTCCTGATCCAGGGACACAGGAGACGCAGAGATGACTATGGCCTTGGTCTTGCACTCTAAGAGCTTATGGTCTGAGGGGAGAGCTAAGACTTGGGCCAAAGGAGGTAGGGAGGAGGAGGGAAGGGATGAACTCATAGGCTGCTTCTTTCTGACCTAATACCGCAGTTATGGAGATAGTTATAGAACAGAAGGAACCCACAGAGCCTGGAAACATTAGTGGTCAGCCTGAGCCATCCACCAGCTCAGATTGAGATGACTTGCCAGGAAGGCTGAGAATTGTACTAGGTATTCTGGGCCATCCACCAGCTCATAGTACAGTGAGCTATACAATGACGTTAAGTCATAGTATAGGTGGCCAGTTTATAGTCTATGACCAAACTTACTGATGTTGCTTTGGAAGAAATGGGAGAAATGGGTATCCATGCAATTAACCCGTGCCCATTATTGGAGCGTGCATAATATGCTTCATAAGTGACTTCAGTATATGCTATTTCATGTTTTATGATCCTTAATCATTTGCTATGCAAAGCATAACATAACATGATGTAGTAATGAGAGAGCTGGCCTTGCCCCAGGAAGACTTGGGTTTGAGTTTCATCCACAATGCACATGGCCTTTAGGAATCTGGGAAAATCACTTTCAGTGCCCATAAGCAACTTTCTAAGACTATATCAGTTACATGGGGGTACCAACCATCACCAGTAGAGGGAGTTTTCACCTGGGAATTCACTGTACCACTAAAATCAAAGGTCCAGTGCCTAGCCTGGACATCTGTAGATGTTTATTATGCAATATACTTTTTATTTCTGGGTTATGTTTCTTTGCTAGATACACCAGTAACCAATGTTATATGTTGGCTCTTACCACGTGTGCATGTAGCATGTTTCTGTATTCAATCACTGCATACAACTTTCTGCTGTGATTCTGGGTGCTGTGTATCCAGGGGTGTGCCATAGTCAGCTTGTACTAGCTTGTAAGAGATGATTGTAAATTTCCAGTGCAAGCATTCACCTCATAAACAAGCAAATACTACAAATCAGGGCTTGACTGGTTATTCTGTTGATTGTCTAGACTTAAGAAGTGATGGAGAACATCTTAATAAAGAATAAAACAGATTAAAATGAAAAGTGTGTTTTGCATACATTTTTATAGAGCTGATTGTTAAACATTTATCAGCATACCCCTGTGTGTATTGCACTGAGATTACTGTCCTTAATTTAATGTATGCATATTGGCATATGTGCTGTTGGTTATATAGTATGTAATCTGTTAGTTGTATGCACTAATGTGAGCAGGATGCAGTTCTGGAATAAATGCAAGGGAGGAGGTATGTGCACATTTATCGAACTATATAGTTGGAGATAAGTACGTGGAGCTCTCTTATGTATTAATTTATGCTGCTTATAATATATGTTCTTCAAGTAATTGGCCAGAAGGATAAATTCTTTACTGGAAAGGGGAGACTATAGAAAGAAAACAAGGTATTTCCCTGGTCAAAATAGAGCCCTGAAGCCTGAGGGTGTGGCTGTGGCCAATATACATAATTAAGGCAGCAGTGAGGCCAGGTGGGTAGAGAGAGGACTTCTACACCCCCATTCTAGTGTCTTTTACAGGGACTGCAGATTATGACCTGAGGTGTTTGATCTGCTCAGTCACTAGGATCGAAGTAATTTCTTTGAAACTAACATTATCACTACCAACAATAACAGCTACTATTTACATAGCTTTTTAAGGCAGTGCGATTGAAGCCAAAGAGAGGAAAGAAAAGGTTTGGAATATTACTGATGGGACTGTCCCAGGGAATCCATAGAAAATGGTATGAGGGACTCTGTCACCTTAGCTAAGCATTCTTGGGGGTCTGCCATCTTTGTTAGTAGACTATCAGATTGTCTGCATTTCCACTGTTTCTTATGTAACTCAGGTTTCAAGCCAAGTCTGGAAATTTTTTGCCTGCTTTGTATACATGACTTCAGAGTGGTGGAGAGAATGTTGAGTGTAACATGAAAAATAAGGAATAGCTTTGATTAAAGTGCCAGATTCCCCTACATGTTTTCTACTTCCAAAATCTTTATTTCTTTTTCCATATGTCTCTCTGTGAAGAGAGCCTAAAATTATGTGTGTCTCTCTTATAGAAGAAATAAAGAATGTCTCTTATCTCTCAAAGTTCTTGTACTAACTCCTCCTCTTACACATCCCATCACACTCAGCATTCTACCCACCATGCCAGAATCACACGCACATAGCACATGAAACACCCCAGCATTGGCTTGAAATCCTGCTTGAAAGTAATTTCCTGCTCTATGAGACAGAAACAATGACATTTCCTTTGCTCTGGCTGCTCCAAACTCTGGTTTGAGGGACAGTCCATACCGCCATCTTGTCTTTGTGTCTGACTCCATGAGCTTTAGTGGAAGCCCAAGTTCTTGGCCTCAATGTACTCAAGTTTTTAGCCCCTTTCTCTCTGTGGCTTTTCAAAACTGAACAGATCTCCTTCTAATAATGAGACCTGACACATAGGAGTTATAAAGTGCTTTGCCATTCTGATCTCATTTGAGCCTCACCAAAGTCCTTTGAAGTATGTGGCACAGGTAGTAACTTCCCCATTTCATAAATGATGAAACTGAGGCAGCTGCTGCCAATAAGCAACAGATTCTTCTCTGAAATGAGGGAGGCACCTTGGACTGGGATGCAGCTGGTTCTCATCTGTGAGGATGGGGTAAGAAAGTAATAACTGGACATAATAACTATGTCTATGTTCATATAGATAAGAACTAGGGTCTATATGAAGGGAAAGAGGCAAAGCTTAAGGAACACATAGCCACAAAAAGTGATAAGAAATGAACATAGTCTGGAACCAAAGGAGTAAAAAGACAGCAAGATTGGTGGCAGGGCTGGGTTGGGAGGCAGAAAAGGGATCTAAGCTATTATTTCATTGGGATTGGGGAACTTCTCAAACTGATAGAGGGCAGCAAATCCTCTGCAGTTTATTCTTTTAGTAGTGATTTGCCTGGGACACTGAAGGTATCAGAGGCAGGATTTTAACCCAAGCCTTTGGAGTCTACCCTACACCATGCCCTGCTGCCTCTAAAAGTCTGTTCCTTTAGATATAGATGAGCAAAAACTACTTCTTCAGGATGTTAATAACTACAAGTCATCATTGTCACAAATGAAAGCAGAATATAAATTTCTAATTAAAGGACAGGGGCAGAAGAATGTTCATATCCCACTTTTTCACTGCAAGGAAAGACATCCCTGAAGTGGCAGTAGTCAGGCACTATAGTGAAGAGAATTCTACACTTGGAGCTGGGAAGCTCTGGATTCAGATCCTGTGTCTGGTATTTATTGGCTGTATGACCATAGACAAGCCAATCAACCTCTCTGAACCTCAGCTACCTCATCTTAAAAATGAGTTTGTTTACTCTGTATAGTCTCCAACTCAGAATTTTGGAGAGGCTCAAATGAGATGGAAAGCACTTTGTACAATTTAAAGTACTATATAAATGCCATTTTAATTTCTATTTGGATTCATCCTGGTGAAAATGGCAGAAAGGACTTTATGAGCTGGTTCTTGATGGCTCATGTCCCTGAGCCCAGAGACAATGGAAGAGTTTGACACCAGTCCTAGGCTTAGCAAAAGAAAAGTCCGAGGCTCATGGTAAATTCCTTTTCCCTCTTCTCTGCTTGGGGCAGTGACCTCAGTGAGATGATGAAGAACTTCAAACCCACCAGGCCAGAGCCATAGCTAGGAATTTTTGCATCTGAGGCAAACAATAGCATGGGAGGGAAAGCAGTCAATATCTGTGAACAAGGCAGAGTGCAGGTGTTCACTCCAGGCTGTCCTCTAGCAGCTTTTTCCTTTGACAAATTATTCTTGCCAACTAAGAGCTAAACTCTGTTGCTTCTAGCTGCCGAAGGAACTCCAAGTACAATTGTCAGTATCATATTTAAGCATTGTCAGTACAAGTAAGCATGAGCATGAACCAAGATTGCAGGCACAGCCTAGGAAAGGAACAATGAGAATGGGCATTGCCTTAGGGAGAAGTCCAGTGGGAAAGCTCCCTTCAAATGCAGCCCCCTGGGGTGGGGCCATGTTGCCTTGTCCTAATGCTGGCTCTGGACAAGGTCCTCCCAGTCTCACCTTCTGTCCTGTTGTTGCCCACAGGAGCTGTCCTGAAGGCTATTTCTGCCTAAAGATAGGAGGCAATCCCGATTTTAACTACACCAGTTTCGATTCCTTTGGCTGGGCTTTCCTGGCTCTGTTCCGCCTGATGACGCAGGATTACTGGGAGCGGCTCTACCAGCAGGTCTCTATCCGGGGCTTTGCAGACTCTTCAGTATCTGGCCCTTTGACATGCTTAAGTGGGGAGATTTGGCTTCACCAGCATCCTAGCAAGTTAAGATCAGCATTGGGCAGCATGTGGTCCTGTGTTGGGAGCTGGATTAAGTACGGTTCCCTCTTCAAAAGTCGATTCCCCTGTGATGGGTAAACATGAAGGCATCATGGGGTCATAGATTCAGAGCTGGAAGGGCCCTTGGTAGCCATCTGGTACAACTCCCCCAATTACAGATGAAGAAACTGAGGCCATAACATGAAATGATTGGCCCAAGATCCCACCCTTAATAAGTGGCAGAGCCACTCAAATGGTCTCTAGAGGATCAACCTCAGAAGCCACGGGTCCAAGTCCAGCACACATTTCATTGCTCCCTCCGTGAATACCTTAACTTGAATTTGTTCATCAGATCCTTTACAACAGTAAAAACGAGAACTCTGAGAGTTGGCTTTGCCTTTGATGGTTGAGAGGGAGGCCTGAGTCAGTGTGCTCTGTCCAAGGAAGGCAGGCTTCTGAGGGTTACCACAATGAGGGCCCACACAGACACAGAGCAATGTGAGTACCCTGGGTTTCCAGAGTGAGAGAGGTTCCCCAAGTTAAACTTAGCTTCTACCATGGTTTGATTCCCCCCTCCCAGGCCGTCTTCTGCCAGGAGCAAGACCACTCCTGGGGATAAAAGCCTTCTTGAGCACACAGCCCCAGAGGAGGTTTTACATAAGGAACAGCCGGTGGCATTTTGCTGTTCATTAGAACACTGGGCCACTTTCTGCATTGGCCGAATTCAGTGACAAGTTTAGTGCTCCATCCTCATTAGTTAGCTGGCCCTGGAGAGCTGAGAGAGCCAAGTTTGGATTCCAATCCTGCCTTTGACACATACTGGCCGTGTGGCCCTGGGCAAGACACTTAATCTTCTCATGCTCCAGTAACTGTCTAAGGCTCTAAGCACCAGTAGAAAGAGACTCCATGCCAGGACTGACAGATGAAATTACAGGTCTGAACTGAGAAATAAAAATGGATCTCCAATGACCTCAAGGAGGGACTGGCAAGTCAGACCTTCAAGGTCTGTGGGAGCCAACGCCATGCTTACAGATGTGGCTTTTCTCATCCTTTTGATGAGATTCCTTGGTTCCAGTATTCCTGAGGGCAGTGCCCCAATTAGGGTCAGTCTGCCTCCATTACGCTGCTCCTAGCTTCCTTTGGATGGCGTTGGTTTGCTGCTCACTCCCCGGCGGCCCAAGCTCCTGGACCAGGATGTAGTTTAATTTATCTTGACTTCCTCCAGAGTTGGCCATACATAGCTAGAGGAAAGATAGCTAGAATTCTTGTCCTATTATGAATGGGGTGACCCCTGCATAATATGCCTCCTTTATCCAAGTATGGAAGTGGATCCATAGACCTAAGGCTTAGAGAGAGACTCTGAGGGACCTGGGTGCAGTTGGCTAATTCCCTCTGTCTTTCTTTCCTTCACAGACCTTGAGAGCATCTGGGAAAATTTACATGCTCTTTTTCGTGCTTGTCATTTTTCTGGGATCCTTCTATCTGGTCAATTTGATCCTGGCAGTTGTGACCATGGCTTATGAAGAGCAGAATGAAACCACAAAGGCTGAAATAGAAGCAAAGGAAAAGAAGTTTCAGGAGGCCCTTGAGATGCTCAGGAAAGAGCAGGAGGTAGTGAGCCAGCCCTCCCTCTCTCCCTCCTTCCTTCTTTCTGTCCTCATTGCTTCCTTCCCTCTGTCCTTCCTTCTTTTCCTCTGTCCTTTCTTCCTTCCCTCCATCTTTTCTTCCTTCCTCCCTCCCTCCCTCCCTCTCTTCCTTTCTTCCTTCCTTCCTTCCTTCCTTCCTTCCTTCCTTCCTTCCTTCTTTCCTTCCTTCCTTCCTTCCTTCCTTCCTTCCTTCCTTCCTTCCTTCCTTCCTTCCTTCCCTCCTTGCTTTTTTCCTCCTTTCCACCTTCCTCCCTCTCTCATTCTTTCCTTCCTTATTCAGGTCTGGGTTGGACTAGAAAGCTTCTGAGGTCACTGCCACTTCTAAGTTTTCTGAAATTTGCTCTTCTAGATTCCAGTGAGTGTGCTTGACTATTTCCGCTCTGCACTTGTCTTTGCTAACAAACTTATTTTCCCAATACATAATTTTCTGAGGGGAGTAGCCCAGGGCATAAATGTGCCATAGTTCCTAAGCATTTCACAATAATGGTTGTAATTGACATGGGTACCCTCTGGGTCCAGTGTCTCAATATCTTTTCTTTGCAGGTGCTGGCTGCCATGGGGATTGATGCAGGCTCACTTCTTTCCTTTGAAATGTCACCTCTAGCCTCCAAAAATTCCAAAGAAAGAAGAAACAAGATGAATCAAATGAAATCTGATGATTCCATAGAGGATGCCAGCTATCACCACCAGAGGAAGATGGTAACAGTTCACCTAAAAATTTATGACTGTTAGTGCCTCTAGTGGGACACATTTCCAGGTGCCCTTCTGAGGTTGTTGGGTTGGGTGAGTGGGTTACTAGTGACCCTTTAGGTCCATTTAAACATAGCCTTCCCTAGGGATATATATGTGGGGGGGGTGTTTCATGTTGGTAGCCATCCCTAGTCCTTCAGCTCCGGAAAGAACTGATTAGTCAGTCAGTCAACAAGCATTGATTAAGTACCTACTATGTGCCAAGCTCTGTTCTAGGAGAAATCTCCCCAGCGCCTTCTGGCCCAAAGAAATTCCTTTCCATTCTCAGAAATTCTATTGATTCAATTCAGTGTAATGCAATTCAGCTCTACAGCCTCTTATTAAGCACCTACTAATTGCCCGACTCTGCTGATTTTGGAGATTCAAAGACAAAATTAAAATAGCCTCAGGACTCTGTAAGTTGAATGCTTGAGGGGGAAGGGGCTGGGTAGTTGTGATGGAGACTTCATGGAATAGCGTGGGAAGCTGCTGCTATCCCAGGTGAAGGAAGGGTGCTCAGAATTTTGTGCTTGCCCAGTACACATGGCTCCCCTCTGAGCCCATTTACCTGCATCCCTTGGCTATCCCTGTCCCATTTGTATTCCCCAAATATTTCCCATCGGCACATGGCCACCCCAACCACTTGTAGAATTCTCCATACATTTCCACTCCCACACACACACGTACACACACAGGAAGAATCTCAGAGCTGGAAGGGACCCCAGAGGCCAGCTAAATTAACATGCATCTGAACCAGATGCCCCTCTGACCGTGCCCATTGAAGGTGCTTATCCACCTGTGCTAGAATCGCTCTAGTGATAGGAGACCCATTGCCTCCTGAGGCGTCTTCTCCTCTTCTGGATGGTTCTAATTGTCAGAAAGGTTTCCATGACATCAGAAGTCTGCCTCTCTGCAGTTTCTACCCTTGCCCCTGGTTCAGCCTTCCAGGACCAAGCAGATGACATCTAATCACTTTTCCCTAAGCTGACCCTCCTAGTACTTATAGACGGCTCTCAGGGTCCCCTGAGTCTTCTCATAACCAGTTGTTCCAACTAAACTTCATATGGAAACAGCCCCAGAGGCTGTGCCACAAGTTGGGAGAAGGCCATTATTTTAAAAAATAAATAAATAAATAAAGCTGACATAATTGAATCTGCAGGTAGACTAAGTAACTTACAAGAGGGAAAGTGTCTAATTGACTTGGAATTCAATTCAACAAGTATTTATTAAGCACCTACTAGGTGCTAAATATTGTGCTAAGAGACAGCTAGGTGGTGCCATAGTGGTGGAACTAGTCAGAAAGACCTGAGTTCAAATACAGCCTCAGACACTCAACTAGCTTTGTGACCATGTGTCACAAACTTTCCCTCTGTTTGCTCATCTGTAATATGGGAATAATAACAGCACCTACTTTCCAGGGTAGTCGTGAGGGTCAAATAAGAATTTTTTTTAAAAAGTGCTTAGCACAGTGCCTAGCACATAGTAGGTACTTAATAAATACGTGTTTCCTTCCTTCCTCCTGTCCTTCCTTTCTTCCTAAGGGATGAAGATACAAAGGCAAAACAAGGAAACAAACAAATTCCAGACCCTATGGACAATGAACTTTACATTCTACTGAAGGGGGGCGGGGAAGGCACAGCAGGATCACAGATAAGTCAGCATAGCCTGCTGCAAGGTGAGAGAGATAGGGGGATTAGAGAAGGCCTCTGCAAGAAGTGGCTAAGCCTAGGAGGGAGGCAAGGACACTGGGAGGCATAGGTAAGGAGTGTGTGCATTCTGAGCATGAGGTATGACAGGCAGATGTGCAGAAGCTGCGATGGAATGATCAATTCAGACAACAGAACCCAGGGTGCATAAGGGAAGCAATGTAAAATGAAGTCTGGAAAATCAGGTTGAAACTAGATTGTGTGTTCTTCCAGCTGGGATATAGTTGAACCTAGAGATAGAGTGGGAATAGGATGCTGGCCAGTAAAATCTTCATAAACCCATTGGGGTTGCTTGGAGGGAGGTGGGGAGGATGAGGTATATAGACTACTGGAAGTCATCAATTCCCCTCCATGGCAGATCTGATGGGAAATGACACTAAATTGAAGGGACTGCATATTTCATCTAGGCAATTAAATTGGAGCTCTTCCTTTCAACAACTTGAGGAAAACACTAATGAAGTTCCAAGGCTTTTCCCTGGGGAATTCTGGAAGCTCATAATATGATGAAGCCCTTGTCTGTTACTCAGCAGATGCAGACTCAGAGGCCCCCATGTATGGAGTCAGGAGTCAAGGAGCCAGATTAACATAGAACTTTTCAGGGGGTTGGAGTCATTCATTCATTCATCTGGCAGACTTTTACAGACACTCGATACACACTCAGCACTCTGCTAGGTAATAGAAATTGGCTAGATTTTTTAATTGTCCTATATAAGTGTAATGAGGGGAAACAATTCAGCCTCTGAACACTCCCACCTCTATTACGTTCAAGTGTTCTGTCTCAAGCCTGAAGAACTTAGCACTTGGGAATAATGTCACAAATGGGGGATGGAGGAGTGAGGGTCTCTAAAAGTGGCCCAGGGTCTGGCAGATGGGTAAAGAGGCTCCCCTGTGTCCCCTCCTTACATAAGAAGTTGGACTTGAGAATCTCTAAGACTCCTTCAGCCTCTGTCACTATGTAGTTCTGGAGCTGGAAGGGGTCTGAGGCTATGAAGAAGCTCAGCCCCCTTCATTGGGCTCCTTTTTTTACCTAGGCAGATTTCATCATTTTCATACATGTTCGTTGGGTTGGATTGAGTTGAATTAAGCAATTTGCACAAGTCAGGGGTCCTTATGTCTGACCACCATCTCATCAGCTTCAATTTGGACTGCTTGCCTCTCATTAGTTCTCTGATGGATATGGAAAGCAGCTGCAGACCTAGAGAGATAGCAAACCAGTTCTCCACCTCCCCCCTCCCCCAGAGCTACCCCCAGGTCTCTTCTTTCCAGCCTTGGTCTTCCTCATTCTGCTGTCCTCTCTTCACAGAAACTAGTCTCCATTCCTGTAATTGATATGTTTGTCCCTCTTTAACCCTTCAGATTCTTAGACTCATGGACTCAGAAAGCTCAAAGATTTGTAAGCATTCATCTGGTCTGGGGTTCCTAACCTGGACTCTGTGAACTGTGGATTTTTTAGAATAGTTTGATGACTGTATTTCACTGTTAGTGGTTTCCTTTTTCTTCCTCTGCCTTTAATTTTGTGTGTTTAGAAACATTCTTCTGAGAAGGGGTTCACAGACTACACCAGCTTATTCAAGGAGTCCAAGACCCACCAAAAAAAAAAATGTTAAGAGCTCAGTACTCTAGTTCAGCTCTTTGGAATAAGCCTAGGAGAGATGAAGTGGCTGGTGCTGGGTTCAAATCCTGCCTCTGGCACTTATTAGCTCCTTTAACAGTATAAGGCTTCACCTGACCTGACCCCCAGGGTTGAGATGGGGACCAAGTGCCCATAAACTGATCTGTAAATCTTAAAGCCTCCAGAAAGGTCAGCTGTTAGGAGAGGGGTAGGAATGGGTAAGACTAGAACTCAGATCTCCCAACTCCCAGACCAGGACCTTCTCTATGATGCCACCATCATGGGCCTTCTGCCGTTTCTACACATTGTTCATTTGATATTCTAAACTAAACTGACCGTTGACAAAAACACTACATAAAGTGATTTTTAAAAATAATACTTTTATTATTTTCAATTTTTCTTAAAAAATATGCATGTTAGCTTTAACAAAATAATTTGTTTAAAGATAATTCTAAGTCCTCTTCTGAACCTCTTGGTTCCAAGTCTTTTTAAGTTTCTTATTTATTTCTCGTTAACACTTTTCTATTATTACTATTTCTTCTGTAACACTGTGTCTTCCTATGATTGTCTTAATGTCCAATTGCCCCTTCTCCCACATCACAGATTTAAAGCTGCAGGAGAACACAAAGGCCTTCCAGGCCAACACCCTCATTTTATGGAGGAGGAAAGACAAGCCTAGAGAGGACAAGTCACTTGTCCAAAGTCATTCAGAGAGAAAGTTTCAGAGGAGGGACTTGAACCGAGGACCTCTGACTCTAAAGTTTACTACTTTATATAATCTTCCCATGCTCCTTCACACCTGTCTTTCCTTGTGGTAAAGACATGTTCCAGTAAACTCAGCCCACAATTTGCCCCATCGTTCCCTAACCACTGGGAACACAGGCTGTTGTCGTCATTGTTGTTGGTTTGTTGGTTTCTTTTGCTACTATTAGTAAAACTTCTAGGAATATTTGTGTATGCTTTGCTTTCCCCCGTTGTTAATGCCGTCCTTAACATCTTATTCTAGTAGTGAAATCGCTGTGTCAAAGGATATGAACATTTTGGTAACTCGTTGCATAATGTCTTATTGCTTTCCAAGAAAATTCTATCAATCCACAGCTCTGCCAGAAATGTGGCATCATAGGGGCAGCTAGGTGGTGCAGTGGATAGAGCTCTTGCCTTGAAGTCAGGAGGACCTGAGTTCAAATCCAGCCTCAGATACTTAACACTTAACTAGCTGTGTGACCTTGGGCAAGTCACTTAAACCTGATTGCCTAGAAAAGAAAAAAAGGGAAAAATAAATACAATGAGTTTTAAAAAATAGATAAACAGAAATGTGGCATCATGCCTGTTGTCCCACAGCCCCACCAGCATTGAATCTCACCATTTTAAATGCTCATTGCCAGTTCAATGGGTATGAATTGGCATCTCAGATTTATTTTCATTTGCATTTCTCCGATTATTAACAGTTTAAACAGTTTTTCTACTGATAATTTGTGTTTCCTCTTTAGAGACCCTTATAAAATGAAATAATAAATGCAACTTTGCAAATCTTCAAGGGTCATATAAACCCTAGCAATTGTGGTGGTTGGTATAGTTATCCATTGAAGAGGAGATCATTCACTTACAATGCGTGTCACTTCCGAATAGATTCTGTTTTTCTCAATCCTTTT